GTGAGTGTCATCCAGAGACGTGAGTGTCATCCAGAGACGTGAGTGTATCATCCAGAGACGTGAGTGTCATCCAGAGACGTGAGTGTATCATCCAGAGACGTGAGTGTCATCCAGCGACGTGAGTCAATTATAAACGTATGGAAATGTTTGAAAATGGCGAGATCATTTAAGAAAAAACATGAGCTTATTGATGAAATCTTTTAATTAGTCATGAAATTTTTTACCGCAAAACTTTCATTTTTTTGTGCAAGTGATGGAAATTAATTATATTAATCTCCCTATTATTGCCGAAAATCTATTAGTTTCAAGTTTCAAATCTTGGGATGAGTCATTAAATGCTTCCTAGCGGTATGAAGAATCATGAACAATGTTCATAATTGTACAAATATTCTATATCTTGAACATGTATTCTATATTTCAACCGTAACCTTCATCGCTGTCCTCACCATTAACTCGGTTATTAATCAGATTTAAAAAGACACTATGCATTGTGTATAAGGTCCTACGGAAAAGTTAAAATGTTTAAACGTCATAATATTTTACTTCTACCAATACTAACTGTGTGACTTGAGTAACTGTGTTACACACTACTGTGATAGTAGTGTACAACACTAACTGTGTGACACCAATATTAACTGTGTGACTCGAAATGTCAATATATGTACTCAAAATTTTACTTTTACCAATACTAACTGTGTGACATTCTTATCCTAGGATTCGCATGGTATTCCATCTTAACTTTTATACATTATTGAGTAATCAAGTTAACCTCGTTTCACTGATCGGACAAAAGGGTATTACTTTTACCAATACTAACTGTGTGACATTCTTATCCTTGTATTCGCATGGTATTCCATCCTGACTTTTATACGCTATTGAGTAAACAAGTTAACCTAGTTTCAATCATTGGACACAAGGTCATTGGACAAAAAGGTAACTCACCTAACCCTCTCCCCCTCCAGGACCTGCCGTACTATGCACGACGCCTCCACCTCGGTGCTGGCGGCCGTACGTCCGCAGTGTCGGCGCGACAGGACCCCGCGTTGCTGCAGAAGGCGGTGGCCCTCAACACGGGGAGTCTGGAGCGGGGCAGCGCCATGGGGGCTGGAGTGAGGAGACTGCGAAGTAGCCTCTTGGAGGAGGCCAGGACGGCCGGTGCTGCTGGGGCTCCTCATCCATCACCCAACAAAGGCTTGCCGGCACTCTCCTTGCTGGACATCAATCCTGCTGGTGGGTGAACCGAGTGAACCAAGTAAATCAAGTGAATCAAGTGAACCAAGTGAACTTGGTTCACTTGGTAGTGGCTGAGCAAAGGTCATTTTTGAGTGACTTGCTTATGACGCAAAAATTTCCAGATTTCCAGAAAATTTCCAGATTTCCAGAAAATTTCCAGATTTCCAGAAAATTTCCAGAATTTTTGAGAAAATAGCCAGAAAATTTTCGTATATGCCTTTCCATAGTTTATACGAACCAATTTCAAGTGCTCTCCTGCCAAGAATATTCATTACAAATGTTCATGTTCCTGTTTAATTTTGTGTTCGCAGAGTTTTTGAAGTACAAGGTTGGCGTGGGCAGCATAGGAGGCGTGACCGAAGGAGTCTCGGGCATCCTGTGGGTGCACCTGCTCGCAGGGCGCGGGCTTAAGGCGGCGGGTCGGGCCGAGTTCCGGGACCTGTACTGCGTGCTGGAGTGTGACCGAGTGCACAAGGCCCGCACTGTGGTCCGCACCGGGGACCACAACTTTGACTGGGACGAGACCTTTGATTTGGACTTGATAAATAATAAGGAATTGGACTTTTTGATTTACTCTTGGGACCCTCAGTTCCGCCACAAGCTGTGCTACAAAGGCTCCGTGCACCTCGTCTCACTACTGAAGGAGGCGCCCCTGCATCAGCTCGCCCTTAAAGTCGAGCCTCGGGGCACGCTCTACCTGAAGCTCAGCTACACGCCCCCCGTCACCGCCTTCATCAGGTCTCCCAAGCTCAGAAAAGTGAGCTCGCATAGTGTTATTATTAAACGTTACACAAGAATAAAATACATATATTATGTTCTTCGAAAACTAATATGAACTAATAATTAATGCGGTTCAAACAAAGTGTGCGTCCAGCTTAATTATGATATTAATTCAAGATTAAAAGTTTTTAAAAATATCTGAAGGTAGTGAATTTTGCATAATACATTCATTTTCAAATTAAATATTTTCATAAAGAATTCATTTCCTGTCTAAGAAATTATTTAATTTAGTCGCTATAAAGTGCCTTGCTGACCTGTTTCCCCGCCGAAATGAATAATTTTACCGTTGTAAAGAGCCTTGTTGACCTACTTATCCGCTGAAATTTTTAATTTTCCCGCTGAAAAAAGTCTTCTCGTGCTTGACGTACCCCGTAGAGCGCCGTGTTTGGCGTAGACCTGGACACGGTCTCGCAGCGGGAGTCAGGAGGCTCGGCCGTGCCCCTTGTGATCGCGCGCTGCGTCGCGGAGGTCGAGCGCCGGGGGCTGGACATCATAGGACTCTACCGACTGTGTGGCTCTGCTACCAAGAAGCGCCTTCTTAGGGACGCCTTCGAGAGGAACCCGCGGCTGGTCGACCTCAGCGCTGATAACGTGCCTGATATCAACGTTATCACTGGTGGGGGATGAGGCTACAATTTCAAGCTGTAACAGCAAAATATTTTTTTGTTTAATTAACAGTTGATTTGGTATTATATGCCAGTGCAGAAGCAATTATTTTTTCATAATGTTATACCACAATATTATTTAACAATTTAATGGCAAGGCAAATTCCATGGGGCACTAAAAGCGATACCAAAAAATCTTCTGAGGAAGCTTCCTGGAATTAATGGTACAAAGCGGCAATTTTTTGATAAATATGCAGAAGAGTTTTTTTGTATCGTCCTCAGGTTAATTTAGCTCACTGGTCTGCGTGTACTACTTTGATTTACATCTTTTAATACAAGACGGGTTAATCGTAACCCTAACCGTTAATTTGCACGTCGTTAGAACAGTTTCATATACATCATTGCAGTTGTTGTTCGCTCTAGAAACTCGTTATACATCTCTCGCAAAATTGGACCTAAATTTTGGCGTGAATGAATGTATTTTGAGTATATGTGAGATAGTAAGAAAAAAAATTAATTTGATTGTCATTCGGATATATTGAGCTCCTTGTTTAGTAATATGTAAACTGCGAAAACTCGAAAAAGAATGAGGCTATTTCGGATAATGTATTTTGCCAGAAAAAAATTGGAGAGAGACAAATTAACTATTACGCTGTGATAGTAAAAATCTTCGACGGGAAAACTCCTTCTATTCTCTCCACCCAAATATTTTTTTCTATGACTCATAACATCACTACATAAGAATATTCATCCGTATTTATTAGAATATTTATTAATAATATCCGTATTTATGCGAATGTTTACAACTTTCAACAGGTATCCTAAAGGACTACCTACGAGAGCTGCCTGAGCCGCTGTTCACCAAGTGTCTCTACCAGATGTTGGTGGACGCCCTCACCGTCATGCTTCCTGACGATCCTGAGGGCAACGCCAAGCTCATGTTCTCCATCCTCGACTGCCTTCCTAAGATCAATAAGGTGGGACCCTACAAACTCAGGAAAACGAGTGAGACTTTGTCCAAATACCTATGAAATTTTGGCCTCTTTGCGGGTCATCCGGATCCAGTTTGGCCAGGACGTATCAGTGCTTCCTTCACTCTTTGCTCGAGCTGTCGGTAAAAAAGTGCGTCAAAATGTAAACAACGAACTATTACTTTTTTGAGTGAAGAAGACACTTGTCAGTCGCTCAATACAAATGCAGTCCTAATGTACTTCTGAGTAAACCAAAATTTGTAAATAGTATTTTATATATTCATTATTTATTTTGAAAGTTTTTGGGCGTTTAAACGGAAGCAGGAGGCGCTAAAAAACTTAGTTAATGAGGTTGGAGTAAAATTCAATATTTTTAAAATTTAATTTTTTTGAATGGAGAAGACTCGGTTTTTATATTTTTTTAATATAAAAATTTTAATTTCCTCCGTCTGCATTCAAATGGGAAATCCATCTTAAATGAGGGTTTGATCTCGACTTTATTAAGAACGAGAACAAGTCTCTGAGCACGTTGTTATTGCTCATGGTTCCTCCCTTAGATCATGCAGTTTGCTCATGGTCCATCCCTCAGATCACGCTGTTCCTGCTCATGGACCACCTACGGCTCGTGTCGAGTCAGTCTGAGCGTAACAAGATGACGACTCAGAACCTGGCCATCTGCTTCGGTCCAGTCCTAATGCTGCAGAGTGAGCCGGAAACTATCATGGACTTCCATCAACCCATCAGCATTCTCAAGTTCTTGCTCGACTTGTGGCCATCTAAGTCCGGTGAGAACAACTAGGTTTACCTCTAACTTTATCCTGGGACTTTTAGATGGAGGACTTTTTATGTGGAAATGAATTCATTCACCAACCTCGTCAAATTATCTCTTCATTAAGTTTTCATTCACATCTTGAGGGGTCGCTCAAGTGTGGACATGTGACTGGCAAGTCGAAAACACATACTAATGATACTTTGTATGAAAAGGACGCCAATCAACAGTCTCCTTACATGAAGTGGGACGTCTCTTCTTCTCTCTTCTCACGTCCCTTCATCTCGCTCCTCACGTCTCTTCTTTTCTCTCTTCATGTCTTTTCTTCTTCTCGCTCCTCACATCTGTTCTCTCAGACAGCTCGGGCAGCGGAAGCAGCGAGTGCTCGGAATGTTGGCTTGCCCCCCAAGCCGCCACCCCCGCTTCTCCCCCGCAACAACCAGCCCCCGCCCCTCCCCACGACCGTTGCCTCCCCAACATCATCCCCCGGGGGGTTGGCGTCTTCCAGCCAAGGGGGAGCTCGCCGCAAGCCCCCCGCCCCCCGATCCCAGCTCAGCAAGGTAAGAATCTTTGGCCCAGAAGACCAGAAGGTCCGGAGGCCGTATAATCTAAAATAGTTTAGAGTTCGTAGCGCCATCACCCAATCACTGACGGCTTCTCAAGCTAAGTTCACCAATCATGGACGAAAGATCAAATATGATGTATTGTCCCACTAGCTACACCACGTGAGCTTGGTGGTAATGTTAGCAAGACGTTTTGGCTAAATTACGTGAGCTGCTGGTAATGTTGCCTAGCCTCTTTTGTCACACCACGTGAGCTTGGTGATAACATTAAGGCAATTCGCCATACCTTTCAGGTGGCGCCGAATACCGGGGGCGGATCGGGGAGCTCGACCCCGCTAAGTCCGCAAGGCTCCGAGAGCGATTCCTCCCCGAATCCGCCTGTTAGCATCCGGGCTAAGTTGCCATCGCAGCAACAGCATCAACAGCCTCCACGAAGTTCCCCTGGCACATCCCAATTCAACGCAATTAATGATGGTTCCAAAAATGTAGTTTCTGGTCGTCAAAATGGTGGTGGTGCGTTAAGTGGTGGTGGTGGTGTAGCTGAGAGTGGTGGTAGGCCTGGGTTTGGTAGAGTTAATTTCGGCGGAAACTCTGATGGTACAGGTGGTACATGTGATAAAAATAGCAGTGGTGGTGGTGGCATAGTTGGAGGAGTCCCACTGCCTGGGATGGTCTCGCAGGCACTCGGACACAGAACTTCATCAGTTACTCCTAGTGGGCCAGACTCGTCTGGTGGCAATACATCGGGCTCTATTACTTCCACTCCGACTTCTTCCATCACGTCCCCTCCTTCTACCATGTCCGCTAACCTGCCTGGAGAAAGCTTCTCTCAGTCTGGAGGTAGTTTCGATACCGACAGTTTCCTGCGAGGTACCTACAGTAGAGTCAATATGGCTGCTGATCACTTCCTCGGTGATGGCTCAGCCGCAGGTGGTTACAATAGAGATGGTCCCAGCTTGCCCAATGAAGGAGGAGCAACGGCTGTACCTGAGAGCTCAACGGCCGCTGTGACGGAGAACCTGGTAGCCATTCCACCAAACTCCTCCATGTCCTCAGCCAGCGGAGGTCCCTTCGCTGCGCCTGTCAGCTCTAGTGGAGGGCCTTTTGGTTCTCTCGGTCTCCACCAAGTCACCAACATTAGCACAAATCCGTTCCTGAACGGTCGACATCTTCTTACAGGAGATGAAGATGAAGATTCTTTACGTTGAGTAAAAGGCTAAGACGTTGACAAAGGCAAAGCAAAGCAAATTTTATTTGAGCTCTTGCAACTCCTGGTGCGAGCATATTTGAATGCATTGACGGAACTTTTCCTTTATGTGTCTCGCTCCAAAATAGGTGCTAGCGCTCCAGATTTGAGAGAAATACATCATTCTTGGTAGAAATTTACTCCATGAAGGAAATATGGCTTACTAGACATTGAAAGTCTAAAAAGATAAAATAGCTCGACTTGGTCATCGGATGCGATGTATATTGTCACGCATAATTCTCAACTCATAGAATTCGTTTATTGGTAATATACGATTGATGATTCTGGATAGAATTCTGATGTCTATGCAGACTCCTCATCAATCTTCGTTCCCTTAGAATTCTATTATACAATCAAAGGTGGAACGAGCAGCTTGAGATCGGCGTCCAGTGTATGCAGCAGCACACAGAGTACTAATGTTGTAATATACGCTGGAATGTTCCTCGTGGAGTATGGGTGTAATTCGAACGCTAATTTGTTTATTGACAGCGTTGAGTGTCAACTCCAACTTTAAGCACTAGCCTATGACAGACTTTTCTGGCAGCCTCTGCATGGACTTTTCAAAACCAACAATAGTGGGTAGTAAACGATTAGTATGTAAGTCAATATCAATGGAGAATTGTCCCGTAAATTTATCTCAGCATTCTGACGCAAAATAATGACTGAGGACTCCTCTGTCCAGTTGTATGTTGCGTAGACGGATCTTGCTGGTCCGCACGAAGCAACCGATTCTCCCTGTAATATTTTTTTGATAAATCATATCTTGGGTTGCTGTATAATGTGGTACTGATAGAAAACCTCCATTTCCCCTTACTGGGGTTGGCTAAATGCCGAATTTGATTTTTTGTAGGCATCCAAGCGGACCTATTATGACTTCTTTAAGAGTTTTCTTACAGTGCGTTCTTAGCCACAGAGAGTATTTAGATCATAGATGTATAAATAACTATACACTACTCAGTAGCCATGTTTGTAGAGTGTAACAAGTATGCATGCTACTGTGTGTCTTGCAGATGAAAGTTCAGAAAGTAATTTGGCAATGAAACCTTATTATAGCTTATTAATTTCAATATCCGCATGATAATAATGACGTATAGTAACTCATGAACCTTTATCCCATCTTTATCTTTATTCTTCTGAGCCAGACGAAGCATATATATTGGTTCAAAGAACTTATACAAGAATTTAAAAGCAGACGATTGCTTTACATTTGGACGAGGACTTGCATGTAAAAGTCTGGCTAGAATTTCTACAGAAGTAGCCAGCAGTTCTGTCTCGTTCTACTGGACTATCCCTTAGTGAGCTTAGTATCAAGTCTTCGAATGAAGTTCTTCAATTGTAAAGTGATTAAAAATGTAAATTTCCCACTATTTAGTAAGCGAGTAGTTTCAAGTTGGGCCCGAGCAACAAACGTACGAGAAATAAGCCATATAGACGCAGATTTCAGGATGTACATTTTGAATACAGTAGAATAAAAAGCAATACCGTCTGGTGAAGTTCACGAGTACTTGGGAATAAATTTACATAAGTTCATAAGCTTGACGTGAAAGTAAAAATTGACTTAGGTTTACTCGTCTGAGATGGCAATGCTCGTGCAGTAGAGGTAATAATGATATGCATAGAGCGAGATTTCTAACAACTAAATATCTTGAATATATTAAGTCAAGCAACGTACGAGGAATTTTTCATGTCTAACTAACATTAGAATATAGAGGAAGTGGTGCTGACTTCAACCTCTATTAGGATCGTTTTGAACGAAAATTTAATAAAAACGTAAAAATTATGGCTGAAAATGAGCTGAGAGTTTCAACGATATGATAGAAGACAGCGCAGAAGTTTCACTGATGCAGGAACAATTTAAGGTAAGAGGTCCAACGCACTTGTCCTCTGTAAAGGTTATCCGAGGGTAAAAGGCCGTAATGCCTTGTGGTGTTTGAGGGCTCCCGGGGATCTGTTCTTAGATCGGACATCTTCTACCTTCGAGGGCCATAATTTTTTTACCTTCGAGGCCATAACCTTCTACCTTCGAGGCCACAATCTTCTCCCTTCGAGGCCAAAATCTTTTACCTTCGAGACCGTAATTTTTTACCTTCGAGGCCATAATTTTTTACCTTCGGGGCCATATTTTGACAGAAAATCTCTGCGGTGTCAATAGCTGGAGGTCGGGCAGTGGATGGTTTCGGATGTCAATCGCTTCTCATTCGCTTGTCGTAAAGACCAGATTTACTGCAAAAATGACGGCTGAGTAATATACGAAGTCTGGGTCTGTGCATTCAATCGCACCAGCGTATTTATAGTAACTGTTAGTAAAGGAAATTGGCACTAATCGCTTCGGCGTGCCCGTTAGTTACGATTTGTTGGTAAGAAAAGCCTATTTTTTTTTGCCCCGACTACCACTGCATCTGGTCTCGAGGAGTTGTGAAGAGCTCTTGATGAGCAATCCTCTAAATCCTCTTTGTTGCAAGGATAAAGTAGCGGTAGATGCTAGTTGACCGACAACTGTGGGTGCACAGAAGAAATTAACTTTAATTGCAGCCAGGATTGTACCTGTCCTGCCCAAGGAATAAATGGACTCCACTTCCTAGGCTATCCCTCCAACGCTCTTCCCACCAACTATTTCTTACTGCCACCACTACCACCACCCGCGCCCAACCACCACCACCACCACCACCGCCACCACCAATGATAACTGATATAAAAGAAACCTAATGAGAATTCTTTGTTATGTGTTCACTCACATTTACTCCGAAATGATGAGCTGATTGCTTGGTTACTACTTTGACAATTGATTTCATAATTTTCTACTTGTATTTAAGAAATCGGGTGGATAATCGAAAGTCCTAGAATAATTTTCCGTGACGGTATACTCATTTAAATATGACTAATTTTGCTCAAATCCTACTTGTGTAACGACTTATTATAAATATCTAGGCTTTAACTTACCAATTACTATACTGCGTAATATATCACATCATTTGTAATATATTTTACGAATTTTGTTTTATTGACAATTGTTTACATGAGTATCCCTACAAATCTGGAAATGACCTCTTACTTCCAAAAACTCCATTTGAATTGTGTTTCCTTCTCACAATATTTTACAATATTCATAATCATTAATTATCCATAAATATTATAGCTAATATTCCTGATTTAATACATGTAGGTTTAACTTATTAATTTTAATTTGTGCAAAGGAATTACCTTGGTTATTCATCAGTCATTAGTAGCGAAGCTAGGATGCTGGAGATGTTGTTGTTGAGATGAGCTTCACTTCATGGCTAAATCTTTTATAAGCAAACACTCGTATCCTCCTAGTACCTGGTTTCGTGTAAACTAAACGTTTTCAAAAGTATTTTTTCATTCACATAATAAATGCATTACCTATTATACGAGACAATGATAACGAGACCAGTATTCACATATATAACTTTGTGACAAATGAGAGATATGTCTTTTTAATTACTGAACCATTATTTGTTATCTCCTATACAACCCATTTCACATTACTTCTGATCGAAGTCAAACGTTAATACATGATCGTATCAGCAACACGATTGCAATTTAAACATATTTTATAATTTAGTTCTCATTTAATCCGAGGACAGATTGCTCGTCTTGAAGTTTCCGTCTACAAAGCACAGTCACTGCCAATCATGTCACAATCATGTCGCTATCATGTTGCAATCATGTTGCACACATGTTGCAATCATGTTGCACTCATGTTGCACACATGTTTCAATCATGTTGCACTCATGTTGAACTCATGTTGCAATCATGTTGCACTCATGTTGTACACATGTTTCAATCATGTTGCACTCATGTTTCAATCATGTTGCACTCATGTTGCACACATGTTTCACTCATGTTGCACTCATGTTGCAACCATGTCTATGCCGGGGGTCGCGTGCTGCGGGAACATGCGTTCGTTATAGGATATAGTGTTCGTAGGAGTGAAGGGTCTGTAGGAATCTCAGCGTAGATTAGATAATAACCACTAAGACAGAACTTAAAATAGTCATATTTCTTATCATCCTTCTATTTCTTTTTTGCGGCTCGATAAAAATATGATATCAAAAGTACATGACGATATTAAAACCAATCATATATCTATAAGCTAATCGTAATTCTAACTTAATTTATAATTCTCGTTTCTTTTTCATTCTTTTCCATACGCCAAGCCAAGAAGATTCGTCTTCTGCCATCAATGCTGATAAAGATGAATTTGCAGTAAATTGGGGTGGACAGTCATAATAATTGACTAATAAGCATCTCAAAAATGTCAACAGCTCATTTTCTTTAGTTTCCTCAGTGCCTGCAGCTTTCATTTGCGAGAGTTACTCACGTCATCATCAGCAACAACAATGATCTCTCTGTTCTTTACATAACTTTTTTGTAGAAAAACATCATAAAAACGTCTCACTTTATTAACAAAAGAAACTGACCATTTTTCGGTTTCCAACAGTTTCTCAATTTTAACGCTAAGACCAATCTAAACTGGCATTAAAATGGTCTCAATCTTAGCTATGAGACCTTGTGAAGTCCCAGGTTATAGTTATTCGAAAATTGTTGATTCACGGAAGCAACGAATCCTATAAGGTTAACTCTAAATCGTCATAGCCCATCATGGCTTAGCGGCCTGTAACTAATTAATAATTATTATCCCCCAACTTGATGAACATGCGTGTATTACAGTAAATCAGAAGCATGTAATGCTCCCATGTTATATTAATGACGTAACTGGTGTAATCAACATGTAATGTTAAAAATGATAAGAATTTATGTGTAGGTGTATCATTAGGCTCAGGGTGGCTCCACATTCTATATACAGCACCGTTCAGTGTCATGAGACACTGTATTAAATTATAAGTCGATGTCGGTACTCACTGCAGAAACCTGTAGATTCTATTGTAGATGTGTGAATTGTGTGAGACTTGTATGAGACTTCTTCTTCAGAAGGAGGTCGCTCCGATCTGATTGCCTTTCTACTCATTTCCAGCGTTAATATCATTTTTTTTTATTTAATGACGAAACCTCGTACGCGTCATTATATTATCGTGATCTTCCGTTGGTCTTCTACTCAGAAATGTGTGTTGAAATCATTACAAGTTGATCATGTAAGGAATACGTGATCATGTAATGTTTATTTCACTCTTCTAGAAATTAGTTTCTGCAATATTACCCCTAGAAGAGAGGTAAGCAATACCGACGGACGCTACGTCGCATATTGTAGTCTAAAGAATATAAGATAGGGTGTGGATTGTTGTACGGGTTCTTGTATATAATGTCTATATGATTTCGTCGTCCTTGCATTTACGTTAGGTAATACTCCTGTTTTATTATGGTATGGCGGCTGCAATACTTGCGGAAATAACTATTGTAACGTTAAAGTTTAATTATAACGTTCATTGGTTGCACTTCGAGGAACTGTGCAAAAAATGGGAGTGTTAGCGAGCACATATCATGAGGTTGTGTACGACGTAGGTTTAGGAGGGATCTTCTTACATCTGCTGGAAGTGATACGACAAATTTGAGAGATTATCTTTAGAGTAAAGTCAATTAAAGGAACGATCCCTAAGTCTTACGAAGGAGAGCAGTACCGAACGTTGTGGGTTGGTACTCACTGTACCATAAGTGTTCGAAGTGGTAGCTTGTATAAGCTGAACATCGACCATCGGGTGGTCTAAATGGGCGAATAATGTTCATCTCTTCTGGGATTTTTCTTTTATACTCGACACATGAAAAAACAACGCATAAAATTTCTAATAATTATATGAAATAGAAATACGAATCATTTCCAAATATCATAATTCGCGATTAATACTCTCGATAGTCTGGCAGTTAGTGGTAGGTATAATAATTTTAGTGATATGAGTTATGCGTTTAATTCCAATTAGTCTCTTGCAGTGGTCTGCCGAATATTTTCTACGTGGTTCATTAATTGTCTATATCAAAAATTGGCCTTCCTAGTAATTCTATCCAATATCTTAGGGCGTTCACCTGGATATTTTGATTGGTTCCTGGAGAAAAATTCAAATGAATACTTTAATGCTTCAGTAACAAATTTTTGCTGTCATGACTTAGACAAGACTAAAAACCAAAACTTATGCATGACTTACTGCCACGACTTGGACAAGACTTATAATCGTGACTGATGAATGACTAACTCCCATATTTGTAGATACTTGAATGACTTGATCATAATTCCATGCCATTTTGAAGCTTTACAAGTTCAGGTGAATCTCTATTATAAGTTTCCCCAGTTCCCTTGGTTATCGTCGCACCTATAAACGCGTCTTCATCCTCAACATCTGACCCGTGAGAACCTGGGGGCTAGCGAGTTTGCAATTCTTCCATTTGTTACGTTTAGTTTAGTGACAGGGTTTTTTTATTCATACATTATTTTTAAAGTTCATGCCTTCTCGCATTTTTAGCTTAAATTTTCATGTTCTTGTATTTTTATACGAACTTGTTTGGGTTTAAGGTATAGTTAAGTTCATGTTGATATTCATTCTTTGTGATGTGATGGAGGAAGCGGCCTGAAATTGTCAGCTACAGCACTGAAATTAGAACTTAGCGCTGAAATTAGAGCTTATTTGCAACTGCAGCTCAGAAGGATAGTTGTAAGAGGAGTTGCAACGTCGGAATGGCAGCAGATAGTATTCAATTAACCACGGGTTTAGTATTTAAAGTCAAAGTCTTGGCCGTTTGAAGGGAACTCAATGACACTCAAATAAAGCGGTTGCTATAGCTATTCTAACGATGAAGTAACACGAAAAAACAAACGGACAGCCAAATCAGGGCACTTCAAAAAAACGAGTAATAAATGGGAGAAATAGTTGGCTACATATTTTTGAACTGTAGGCAAACTTAAATCGTATAATTTAAAAAGTCGTCATCCAAGATACCGACCAAAGACCATGTCGTATTAATGACATTAGGTCTACCCTGTTCACTGCATTGAATACTTGTTTAATATTTTGATGCTACGCTAGGCAGAAAGCTATTCTCAATAGAGTTTTTAATTTATTAAATAAGTAATATTGATACAGTTCCTACTGGGTATTCGATGAATCAATATCAATAATTAATTAAATCAATACAATGATTATTTAAATTTTATTTTTTCGCAAATAACATAAAATAATTTATCACGTCATCGATTACATTCATAAAAAACATATAAATTGATGTTATGAAATGAGTTCATGAATTGCACGGCAGTAGAGGAGTTTGAAGAGTCAAAGAGTTGTTTGTATAAGTGCTGTTCATTCTAAATACTCGACATTTTTTATAAAGAATTAAGTCATTGATCTCTTGTTTCAGTTATGTCCTAGCGACATGTTTTTGATATGAATTATATCATCCTAAGAATCGTAATAAGTTTTGTGTCTCTCATTAATCTTGTGGACATGTGATGGTCGGTAAGGAAATTTCAGAAGAAATACGATAGGATATTCACTTACTTACTTGTCCCTTGAAATGTATTGAATACTTTACCTTATTCGTTTAGTCCATATTTTTCATTTTACGATGAAAGGAAACTTTAGTGACAGTAATCAAACATCTTTTTACTTCCACCCTCTCCTGAAAATTTTTCATGTTCCCTGTCCTAATATTTTTTTTAATTGAGTTTTTGTTTAGTCACCCTTTCGCAGTGAAAAACTTGATGTTGAAACATTTTTTGTGCTCTCATTCTAAAATTTTACTCAACATTTCGGCAAAGATATTTGCAGCGAGTTCTTCATTAGTTATTTGAACATTTTAACTAAATTTGGTAATATTATATGATTATATATATGAGAGCTAAATTATGAAGATCGAAGGCAAATAAATTATTCCTCAAGGAATCAAGTTCAACTGGAGAAATTTTATTCAGATTTGAATTAATTAGATATAAGTAGTTTTTAATGAATCAAAATAATGAAAAAATTGTGGATGGTTTTATAGGAGGGCGTGTTCATACAATTTTTATCATTATTATGATTAACGCTAAAACATAGAAAGTGGAGTTAACAATTTTCACTCATTATGATTATTGAAGTAATTCATTGTTACTCCTACAAGCACTCATCTATTTACATGAGTTTACCCGATCTTTGTTAGATATCAACTTAACTGTCAAAATTGAGATTAGCATCGATCTTCTAGCTTCTTCAATTGACGCTTTATCCAGTACGTTCGGTTCAAGTGCGCGATGTCCTATTCAATTTTAGTCATAAAATATAAATGCTATGTTCACCATGCCATGTTCATTGTTATACACAAATAAAATTTAGATACGAAACTTCCCCACTAGTGTCTCCTGCTTGAGCATGTCACTGCCTTCGTATCGCTGCAATTTCAATGGAAAACGAAGCAGTTTCCTCTTTAGATCAAATTCACTCCACACATGTCGTACTTACTTGGAATGAAACATTAAACTTAAAATACAATAAAAGAAACAAAATTATTGAATACTAATTTTAATACGTATTCGTTTTTTTTTCAGTGAAAATTTGAAGTACCAAAAAATTATATGGAACCAGGTCCGGACATTTATGCTTAGGAGGCTAAGCTTGCGTTTCACGTCGAGTTCATGCCTTCAATGCACCAGTAAAAATCAAACTTGGCATGGCATGGGTAGAGACTGCATCGTGTATTGCACTTACCGAAAAATGAACTAAATTATGTTAAATTGGATTTAGAAGTCGTTCCGATTCCATAGTTTGTTGTCACGAGAATACAGCAAAAGAGCGAAATGGGGCAAACAAGCAACCGCTGAACCGCCATTACAACCGCAACAAATTTTATCAGTCGGTCTCGAATGTTCGTAATGAAAACGCACAAACATGAATTGAATGAAAAGATGCGAAAATTACAATGTACATTCATAGATCAATTTATAATATAGAATCATAGAGTTTTGAGTTGATGATGAAGAACTGCCGCATGTATAATACATCTTCCTGAACATGCTAAATGACTATTTATTCATCATGAATGTAAACATTATAGCTTGTTGACCCAACGATGAATGTGTGTGAGATGTTAGTGCACTATGTAATAAAGCATTTAATTTTAATAAGCAGGAGTTGTCTATTAATGTTGTGTTGAAGGATTTTGAATAAGTATTTACTGCTGTCTGGTTAGCAATGAGAATGATTTCAATTGTAACTCATTGAGAGGAGGCATTGGATGATTTTTATATGTACATGTCTTATGTTCAGTGCTATAAAGTATGATAAGGAATCCTCACTCTTATTTGCCCCCTGTGCACGACCTTTAACTTGCATTAGACTTCATTCACAACGCCTGAATACGACATTTTATAAAAAATCTACTGGAAAATCGTGTTAAGAAATTTTTCGTTCATTTGGCTTGCGTTCATGCCTTCAAACTCTAAACCCACATTAGTGAAAAACAGCAACCGTTTCCAATTTGAAGCATGGCACGGAACATGTTAATGTCTATTTCATCCCTTCGCCTTATTCTGCATGTCAACATAATGGCAAAAGTCGGTAAAGATCGTCAACTTCCTCCTGGCAGTTGAAATGATTGTTTCAGAAAATTACTTTTTAAATTTTTAGGAGCAAATGATCAGTAAGCCATTAAATGAGGTAACATTTTTTAGCCTTCTCATGAGAACTTTTAACATTACTTTTAAAGTCAACGTGATATTTTTAATTCGTTCAAAAGCGTTTGTAGTGAAATTATCGGCCGAAGCTTGGAAAGATACACTCCCTTTATTTATTTTATTCATTTAGTTATTCTACTCAAATCTTCTAGGTTGAGACTTGACAACTGCAAATTTGATGAATGTCAACCGAGTGATGTTAAGTGGTTGACGACATGCATCTCAAAATTCCTCTGATTTTCCTAACTATATACAGTAGGTCGCAGCAATTTGCTTTGTTAAGAATCATGTCAACCATGCCGAGTCTGTTGTACATAATAAACGTTATCTTGATGCCACATGATGGTTATAAAAGTAGCGCACGGCCCCTGTTATCAGCACGCGTTGCGCTTACGTGTTGAATCTGTTCAGTTATACCGAAAGGCCCTCGACGAAATTTTTGATTTTTATGGAGGATATTCAGTTGCTCCGAATATTTTTATAACCTGAGAGATTTTGTTTAGCACAAGCGAAAGTTTTGGCGCTCCGGAAGTAATTTCAAATTATTATCATCTTATTTACATCGCGATGAATTTGTAAATTATCAAAATTTACCTGTTTCGGATATAATATAATGAATACTTTTACACAACTATTGATGAAAGTAATCACCAGAACAGTCGTTATATAGTGACATTTCATTTGAATTTTTAGAGATTCTTCCATTATTGAACATATTCTTTTTTTAATTAATTTTTATCATCACATTGAAGCTAAAGTGAAAATTATAGAAGCGTCTTCTGGTCTAACATCCTACTGGTCTAATGTACTACTGGTCCAACGTACTACTAGTCTAACGTACTACTGGTCCAAATTTATTATTATATCTCACGCAATTCTGGGGTAACATTATCATTTTGATCTTCAAAAGAAACAATCTGGTCTAACATAATATATTCATCAATAATATTTATAATCACATATTTTTCAAGAATTTAATTCGATTTTGAAAACTCAAATCCTAAAGCAGAAGGTTCGCTTTTGTGATGGCAGTAAATTGATTGCATAATAGGATAAAATTAAAAAAAAAAATGAAGCTGTTCCAGTTTATTTTCGGTGCGACCCTGTCGTCCAGAATAAGGAAATAAATTCAAAATTAGGATTATGGCACCTCGCATTCGGTTCGAGTCCAAATTAACACAGATTCAATAACCCTCCGGTGCTAAACCCTAACGATGACGCGATGAAATGCACGAAAATTATATAATTATATAATTATAATTAACCTTGAACTATTATAGAAAATTATGTGTTACATAAAACGTAAAACAATTAATTGAGTATCATTTATTGGATCAGAAGATAATTCACATCTTTTCTACTACTTGCTTCATATCGCGTTGATTCCAGCCGATGTCAGCATCGAGTTATTTGGTCTATGCACCCGCTGGTGCTAGAAGAATTGGATTGTCTAATGCCCCCACAGTCTTGTAGGGAACTGTAAAAATCTATATTACGTTTTGGGCTTTCGTCGCGCGGTAAAATACTTTCTATAGAAGACGTTTCAGGTATATTCACACTAGTTTCTTCAATTTGTTTCTCTCCAGAACTTGAATCCTTATTTTTAAGCACGTCAAGATGTAAAAAGTTTCTGTTAACGCACACTTTACTATTTACACTTCCACATTGTGACGTGATTGCATTCAGAGGGTCCATGCAGCCAATGCTTCTCGCGTCGTAGCCACGTGTGAGCTCAAACATGTCGGTACTGTTGGCCTCCTGACCTCCCCGCCCCGCCGAGCTGCTCCCGACACGCGGCCGACGTGTGAGCTCAAACATATCGGTACTGTTGGCCTCCTGACCTCCTCGCCCCGCCGAGCTGCTCCCAACACTCGGCCGACGTGTGAGCTCAAACATGTCGGTACTGTTGGCCTCCTGACCTCCTCGCCCCGCCGAGCTGCTCTCGACACTCGGCCGACGTGCGAGCTCAGCCATCGAGAGCTCCAAAGCCCAGTCCAGGTCCGGGTCCTGTGGACAGAACACAGTATTTTTTAAACATCCAAGTATAGAATTTATTGTGTTTAAAAATATAGAGCACTAGTACATTCTTCTGATGAAAATTGCTTATATATAAGGATTAGTAACATTTTTTAACACAATTCCAGGTAGTAACGACATGTGACTAAATTTCACGCGAGAACCCAGTCGACGCAAAAATTATTTACGCGATGAGCCTTCCTATTTTAATTCTCAATTGCGTAAATCTTGAGGCATTCCAAATATATTGAGGTATTTATTAGTCTAAAATACAGAAGATCGAACGGAAGAAAAGGTAAGAAACATCGACGCACATCGGATGAAGCGTAGAACTCAGTATTTCCAAGCGCGTATGAAGGCGTTTTGGCGGAGCCGCGTGGGTTGTGGTATGTCCCGTCCACCTGGAGCACCAAAGGAGGTTGGTCAGTTAGGGGCTCTTGATTATTTGGGGCCTTACGATCAAACTGGCTTGGGTACATATACTGGCCTTAGTACACGTAGCGGGCGATTTCTGGTTTATGATTGACAAGCTTAGTTTGAAACGCCAAATTTTTAGCAGAATAACACAGGATTTGTTCAACTAAAATAATTTGGCGACATGATGATCTTCCATTTCATAAGATCAAATGTAAGAAGTGCAAACCTACCTGACAAAAAGCGTCAATATAGGCTTTCAAGTATTTTTCAAGTACGGCAACTGAGACTCACTATATAAAGAATATATAGTGAGTCTTAAGTGAAAGAATATATGCGCAGAACTATGATTTTTGGACACTAAACTGCCAATGAAGATATTTGTTAGAATATCATCGAAGGACTCACATCTATTTGACATATTGCAGAGTCCGGTCTTGTTCTTCGCCAACATCGTCTCAACAAGCGACGAATACGGGCCTGCATACTCCTTCTATGTTGAGAAGAAGAGAAAATAATAAATTCTTTACAAACATAACAAGGAAAATTAATGCTTATTAATAATTACAAAATTAAGACTCTGCCTCTGCAGTCCATGAGTGGCCTGGGTGACGTCGGTAAACATTTCTCGCTTCAGTCGTTATCTCCACATAATCTTGTCATTTCTATTTCTAGCTGTTAAGGCCTTATATGACAACAGAGATGATATATAAATATCAACATTCACTATGGAGTCAACTTGGTAAACATTTCTCGCTTCAGTCGTTATCTCCACATAATCTTGTCATTTCTATTTCTAGCTGCATCTAGATGTGTATAAGAGACAGGTTCTTAGTTGTGCAAACCGTTCTTAGTTGTGCAAACCGTTCTTAGTTGTGCAAACCGTTCTTAGTTGTGCAAACCGTCCTTGATTGTGCATCCAGTCGAAATTTGGCAATCCCTCTGAAATTGTGCAATCCGTCCCAAGTTGTGCAATGCGTTATTAGTTCTTTACCTGTCTATAATCGTTCAATCTGTTCTAATTTGTGTAAATCGTACGAAATGGATGATTTGCTAAGACCCTACAGCGCGTGTCAAATTGAGTACGGTAAGATACAGTTTCAAGAGTGGTATCCTTACTTTTTAATTAGAGCGATCGCCCGTCACGCATGGAACTAACCACCACCTAACGACCTCCTAAGTTTGTTATCGTAAATATATGTCGTTAATGGATGCAGCTTGAAAATGAAAGACCTACGACCCGGTGGGAAATTGTCGTCTTAAACACATGGTGACGAGCTATGTTAGACTTGATAATCTTCCTACCGTTTGAGATTGAACTATGATACTGAGTTGATCAATACAGCTCATTGCGCTTGAAAGCTTACCTAAAAGTTTAGACAAAAGGTGAAACATGGACACATTTTGTATCGGTTTAAAATAATGAACGCTGCTGACAATACCTCGTTGTTGATACGTAGATCACACTTATCGCCGAGTATATTTCCCTACAGGGTACACATGGTATGTCCCAGTTTTTTTTAAGCACGATCTAAATAATAATATTAACATTTTTACATTGTAATAACTTGTGTGGAATATGCCGACAAAACTTTTTTCATTCATGGTCTTTATTATTGTTATCAGAAAGACCATGATTATCAGAAAGACCAGATTGTTATCAGTTTCTAATATTGTTATCAGAAACTTGCGTCTGCAGTTTCCTACGCATATGTGATGTGCTCTTTGACGCTCTTCATTTTTCTCCGTGAATTTGTAGTATTCGGGTTAATAGACCGAAAGTCAATTTCACTTGAGTCAAAAGTGATATAAATTTCACAATCCTTCAGAGACGCTCAGTAATCACCTCCGAGGTTGAGTATTTTTGCGCAATGACATCGCTTCGATGCAACTCAATGAATAATTTTCATACTGTTGGTTGAAATTGCCTCATATTCACCAAAAAATATCTTAAATTAATTTCTTAGCAAATCTCTCTTCAGTGTCGCATACAATTAACAGACAGCATTCTGATTTTTTATTTAATTTTTAATAGAGAAATTGAATTCTGATCGCGTTGATGCACAAGTTTCCGTTACAAACGAATTTTGCGCCAGAGATCTTGGTTTTTCATAGCATACTAAGAAAGTGGTTCGAACCTCGTTTGTACGAGTTAAAATCGTATCAAATTTACAAATTTCTTAGCAAACCTCGAATAATGTACGTGTTTTAAATAAAAAATTAATAGCAATTCCAACTCAAACGTATTATCAATTCACTATTAGTCTTTAAAATATTTAGTCCAATACTTGAGATTCAATGTCTATATCAGCCCAAAAGTTAAGGACTGACATACGTTCTCAATCTCGGAAAATGCCATGGCAAAGACTCAACAAAACTGTTATTTGTCCACGGAAAGTTACCTGCTCAGCGGCCACCATTCCAGTGATGAAAAAAACTTCATTTTATGCGACTCAAAACAAAAATATTCCATGTTTCTGGCATGACCTCCTTATATAACTTATACGATTTTAAGCCGTTCTTTCGTATCTTCATGAACTACAATGCAGTAAATTTGTCATATTGAAATAATGATTAAGAATCTCTTGTTTTTATTAAAACTACGTGGAATTAATGAATTGAACAATACCAGATAGAATTTTGCCTACCATTTCATGTCACTCTTATGACATAAAAGCCTATGCTCAGCGGTGCAGAACTTTTAATGTGACTATTTCTGCAGCTTCTCAGAGTCAAATATTGCATTAAAACGAAAGAAATATTGATGAATTTATTCATAAATTTTACAAATGTTATATTTTTTTATTAACTTGTTAAACTTTTTCTTTAATAGTTGAAATTACGTCTGAAATCCTATATGATTTATTAAATCCCGTGTAGTGCATTCTTTTCTTTAGGGGATTCATATATCATTGATAATAATTTCAAAAAATCATTTATATATTTGTGAAATTAAACGTAATAGCTTATTTTAGGTTTAAAATTACCTGAACGTTTATGTGAAATTAATTAATTGTGGCACTAAATAAGCTAATACCTAAAATGAGCTAATTCGTGACTTTTGGAGATATTCCATAAGAAGAAATTTCTATTTGAAGAAATTTTTTCGTGACTTGTGGAGAATTTGGGGCACTTGTTGATCTTGCGATGCAGGACGAGGAATTATAGATCCGTCTCTATTGTAACCACTGAAAATAACTTAAGTCAAGTACTCCTCTTTATACAATAACAATATTTCCATGTTAATAGAGGCCAGTCTTCAGAGTTTTCGTGTGATATTAGGATAAGTTCTAAGTTATTGCAGACTTGTTGTCTTTACCCATTGAATGTTTCATAAGGCTGTAGCGATATTTTCTATTAATTGATCACTGTTGAATGTTCTAGTCGCACATACTTCTTTTGCCCTTCTTTATTATTCCTGCAATCTTCATTGATTTGAAGTAGTTCCGTTCCAAGTCTGTTGCTGCTAACCTTCATCAATTCTCTGTAAACTCTGACTTGTGAAAGCATTTTCTAATTTTTCGACTTATAGGGTAGTACATCTTTCAGGACTTTTAGATTCAATGTCCTTCAGCTATTTAATGCTTCAACTTTAAAGTGAGTTGCGTTTTCCTAAAAATTTGTGATTGACGCAATCATCACTATTTGTGAGTGACACTATCATTTCAGTTTGTGATTGACGCTATCATTACAATATCTGAGTGACGCTATCATCACAATTTGTGAGTGACACTATCATCACAATTTCCTAATAATCTCAGGCATAAATATTTGCCTTGAATGACGACCACAAAATGATGATGTGGTTACCCAGAAAATTTTAAACCCTGAATGGCCGGCAGATAACAATTATTAATGATGTGCCTATACCCAGTAATTGTTTCTTCACTTTAAAAGTGAGATCCAAATGGTGACTCACTTTATACTCGTAGCACTGATACGCCAATTTTACGGGCCAAACTGGGTCCGGCTGACGCACTCACGTGAAAAAAGCGCATCTTTATTTGGACAAATTGTCACTAATTTTTTTAGTGTTTAGGGTACGAGGCTCATTGTTCCTCGAGATTGCTTAATCTTTATCTGTTTTCACGGTCTTTATTTTCTTCCAAGTATCATATTTAAAATCATTGTTGTATTGTTTTTTTTTTGTGTAGTCTATTTTTTCATGTGTTGAGGGGGCCAAATTCATAAATTTAAATGAACTCAAATGTTTCATGTGCGTTATTGGTTTTACATTTCATTAAAGTATTTACTAGCCTCATTTTAAAGATCTTGCGTTATTGTGGAGAATGCATTATCAGATACATAATCATTTGATGAGTAAATTGATTCAACGCTAAAGAAATGAATCACTATCAACATTGAGCTGAACAATCACCGAACACTCTTTCTATACTTGCGAGAAAATCAACTCGCTGCTCTCGCTTAATAAAGTTTATGAATGATAATTTAATTAATCTTAATTACCGAGTATCAATTTCTATTGTGACTTATGCTACCGGCAGTGTGAGATTTAAATGCTTTATATTTATTTCGATCACAAATAATTTCATAGACTTGAACAGCTGTAAATTATTCTTTCAAGAATTCAAATTGGAGAGCAATCTTTTATGTCCCTAAACTTTTCCTTGCTATAATAAATCCTAAAGATAGCAGTGCACAACGTTTGTGTGCTTTTTTTAGCATGACAACATTTCTCTAACCCGCTTGTATATAATATTTAATAATAATAGCTTTGTACGTGTTCTGCTTCACTGTTCATAAAACATAACGCCTATACATTCCTAACTTAAGCCCCTCTTTGCTTGTAGTATGAAACCTTCCTTATATCCTGTCACCTCTTCGATGTTACAATAAAATCCTTCCTCTTCCTACCTTCTTCTTTTTATCCTGTATCTAAATAATAAACATCTTAGGTTTTTCGTTAGCAACATCGTCTTGAGAAAAATTCCAACCCTCTTTCTGTCACTATACCCCACCCCCTTAACATAGTAAAGGTCAATTTCAATGTCAAAAAGGACTAAAGAGATCAATGATGATAATCTTGTACAACGCTATTAATTCCATTAATCACAAATCGCCAATACCACCCAAACAACATCCCTCTAACCCTTTTTACAATAAATCCAAACCTCTTACTATGGATATCTATAATAACCTTAAAATCGTTAGTCTCTCAAAGTTGGTATTTATATGATTGGAAAGGTTAAGGGGGATCTTAGGTGGAACAGGTGCCACTTAACAGGTTGCGCCTGTTAAATACTAACATTAGCAAAAAATATTCTTATCTGTGAATGTAATGAAATATATTATAAACAGTTTGAAAATACGCGAATAGGTGGAATCTCATCTATTATAGATCCTCTAACTGAAATACCTTACCATGAAGAATCAAACTTCGTGAACGGAACATAATATATTTTGATCGACCATTATGTTGGGAGCTACCCGCTTTCTATACACCAAATAACTTTAACTTAATACTTCCACATCGCACAAATGATGCTGAAAATT